CCTCCTCAGAACCCCCACTGAATTAGTCTTTGAATGAATCGCTTCTCTGTGTGTTCTATTATTGCACTGTCTTTCAGATTCCAGAGAGCCCACGCCATATGAGCCCTTGAGGTTCACTGCTGCAAATATCACCCGTCTCCATTCATCTCTCTAGTTGGCTTTCTCTTTCCAGTTGGCGACACCAAGTGTTTGCAGGTCTGTCTGGATATTGTCTCTCCATCGTCTTCTTAGTCTGCCTCGTGGTCTACAACCATTCAGCTCCCTGGTGTATACAGTTTTTTACTTCTCTGTCATCTGACATTCTTTCAATATACCCACAACCATTTCAGTCTATTAGCTCTCATGATGCCAGTGATCAGTGGTGATTTAAACAAATTATGAAATTTGTAGTTGCTTCTCACTCTCCATTCACCGCTATTTGCATTGTTGTTGGTTTCACCGCTATTTGCATTGTTGTTGGGTCTAAAGATTTGTCGTAAGACTGTTTTTGAAAACCTGTAATAAGGCTTTATCTCCTCTAGTTCTTCAACTTATCCGCTTTATCAGAAAGTAGCTCATCGCCCAAAAGAGCGCAATCAGTTCACATAAACTGTTGTCATCCTGTACGTCAGGGTTATTCAGCTATGGTCACTCATTGGCCAACATTTTGAAATCGGGGATCGTCATAAGCCAAAGGCCCCTGTCCCATCAGAGAAACTATTAAATACAACTGACAATGACTGTGGACCGCTTTCTAGACCTCTGCAGGCCAGATCTGGCCCGCAGGCCACGCTAACTGTCTTATCTACTGTCATGGTTAGTTACACTCAACTGTCTAATCTACTGTCGCATACACATGGACTATAGGTCCATGACATTAAGTAAAAGGCCCTTCTCACCCCTTTAGCATATTTGGTGCTAGACCCTTTTCTGTGTGTTTTATTAATATCCTACTTCAAACAGGGGACAGTCTAATATTTCAAGGCTGCATGCAGTGGTGTTAGAAAGGCTGCATACAGTTGTGGGATCTAGGCTGCACTGTCTTGTGGGACGTAGGTGGGTTGGAGATAGGACCAGCTCTAGATGCTTTGGGGTCGTTAAAAGCATCAGAAAGCCAGGAAACCCAGTCTTACCACCCTCTAAAATGTTTGACTGTCCTGTGACGTCATCTGGGGGGTAAGATTTAATAAAGAACCCCCTATTTTCAGACCATTTTGTCCCTGTCTATGTTCTAGGCCCCCAACTGAGGAGGAGGTGGGGGGGGGGGGGGCAATAGGCCCACTGCCCCCTGGTGTAAACAATGACTAATTAAGTTTGTGTTCAAAGGGAGATTACATCTGCCTGAGAGGCAACTAACACTCTGTATTTGAATGAGCCAGATCTGTCAAAACAGACGTGCATACAAACACTCAAATTCTGAAAACAAGACCAAAGTCCAGAAGTGGACAAACAACCATAACACCCCCGAATTTGCAGCTGCTGAACACCAAGAAGTCAAATTCGCCTTTAATGGGCAATGTTGTTAACACGATACCGAGCGCCATTACCTGTCTGTTGGGGTGGGCTAGCCTCTGACCCAGCTCCGCTAATGTACACATCTGGCGATTCAATTATCAGACACCTCTGGTACAGGAGGTAAGTGCCCTGGTACAGGAGGTAAGTGCCCTGGCACAAGAGGTAAGTGCCCTGGCACAGGAGGTAAGTGCCCTGGCACAGGAGGTAAGTGCCCTGGCACAGGAGGTAAGTGCCCTGGCACAGGAGGTAAGTGCCCTGGCACAGGAGGTAAGTGCCCTCTGTGTATTTTACATCACTCCACTCATCTTTAGTTTTTAAAATTACAGCAACCTTTTTTTCCCCCCTTCTGCCCCTGCTATTAAATGGCATGTTGTGTTGTGGTTTGTAGCTAGGCTGCAATATCTGTGCCTTTCTACCAACATACTTCATCTTAGAAAACGCCTACATAGTGGCGCAGGGACTTTACGCCCCCCCCCCCCCCCCCCCCCCCCCCCCCCCCCCCCCCCGAACAAACAGGAAGGAGGCTTTTGTAACCCCAGACTATTTGCTTTCCCAAAAAATCAAATCTGTGCCTGTGGTTGTTAGGAATCCTGTATATTAGGCATTTAGCCGCCAGCCATCTACAGTGTGTTGCTGCAAAGTTTTATTCTAATTTAATTTTATTTGAGCCAGTATAATTATTTTTTGGGGAATTGTAGTCTAAATGTAAATTGTTTCGATTTAATCTTGTATGATTATATGTGAACTTATTTTTTTTCATTCTTATTTCTAATGAACTGCAAAACACAGAAAGTACGTATCACACACTACACAACACACCAAATTATCACAGCCTTCTCTTAGCCATTGTCGTCTAAAAGCTCAGCCAAACTACCCTCATCCACAAACGTTTACACAACAACAAATCGCACGAGAAGATGCCGTTAAAAATTCATAAATAAATTAGCAAGGCCAAGAACCAACGGAGCTGTTTAAAAAATACATTAAGGCACAAATCCCAATTAGGAAAAAAAAAATACAAAATGGAAGATGAATAAGAATAAAAAGCCAGCTGGGGAAAAATAAAGTAGGTTAGCACAAAATGAAAGCGTCAGAAACATGAAACGAAAGCAACAACAAATAAATAGTATCCATTTCCTTTTGCATGACCAACGCCTTCAGCACACACCCGTGCCTTTCCATTAAAGACAAATCCTTTCCATTAAAGACAAATCCTTTCCATTAAAGACAAATCCTTTCCATTAAAGACAAATCCTTTCCATTAAAGACAAATCCTTTCCATTAAAGACAAATCCTTTCCATTAAAGACAAATCTAATCATAAGTTTAGTATGAGATTTTTAAAAACTTTACTTTTTATGGCAGTGATTGTAGGGCAGGGGAGGGTATGAGTGTGTATGATTCAAGTCTTAGGAGTAAGGGCTGCACATTTATAAGCTGTGCAGGCTACAAATTTATTTGTGCCCCCCTCCCTTCACTCTGGCAAGGATTCGCACCTGGATCTCCACACACACAAAGCCCTGTATTCTGATCAGTCAGATGTTTCTCTTGTCTCGATTACTAAAAATGTGTTTCAAAAATAAATTCTCGATTTATTACAAAAACCTTGCAACAAGTACGTACATTCAACCAACCATACCCTCCATCGCCGATCTCTCAAGGCCACCACCACGCTTGACAAGGCCTAAAATACCTCCGCATTAAAAACAGGATGCTGTTTATGAGCCAATTCTCCACTATGCTCAGATTATCTTGGATGTCATCTTTTTGCCTTTAATTCTGATTTATTTCCCACCACCTGATCTACGCTTAGTTGATATAAATTTATGTTGCCTATGGTACATTTTAATGGTCTGAAATGAACTATAATCTATTTCCCATGGCTGTGGCTTCAAGCTGCAGGAGAGACATGACTAATTTAGACCCCCCCCCCCCCCCCCCCTCTAATTTTTAAAGCTGGTCATGCATCTTATTACACATTTCTGCAGCCAGGTGTTTTCGTCATCTGGAGGTGATAGGTTAAAATCCAGATATGGTCAACTAGTTTTGAATTTTCAAGTTGTCTCTTTCCAAAAGTGCTAACCAATACATGTTTAATTGATTATTATATACCCTTTTCAGCGGTTTCAAAAAATTATACATTGTAATTTAGATTTCCATCAGCCAAATGGTTTGGCAGGCAACTGAATCTAAAATACTCTTAATCACTGGCAGTTATTTCACGTTTTTTAAACGAACTAGTTTGCCCAGGTTTTTAAAAATGTTTTACAAGTTTGTTTAGGTATTAACATACAGGTGTTAAAATTGCTATTTAGGTATTAACATACAGGTGTTAAAATTGCTATTTTGCTGTAAGTGTTCGTGTTGTGATGAGTAGCAAACATTAAGGAAATAGAGGATTAATAAACTATGTTTTTTCAATCAAGTCATTTACTTATTGTCTAAAAATCTGAATTAAACAAGAGGTTTTGTTTACTTTAATTTTCTAACATATAACAGATTAAAAGCATCACTTTAGATACACCATGTAAAAATATTGAAGCATGATTAAATAAAGCATTAGGTATTAGACTAAAAATCTGAATTTTATGTTTTTCTGCCTTTACAAATTGTTCAAACCATCGCTTCTCATTTCAAAAAAGAGAACTTTCTAAACGCCGCCACACACTTTCCAGTTTTTTTTAATTTGTAAAAAGCCACATCAACTATCAGAGAATTTGTAGAAAAAGACAAGATATTCTTTGATGTCAAGATTCTGCACTAGATTTTCCTTTTCGCCATCGCAGTTAGTCTGCAGGGTGGCATGGGCAAATTAATCAACCTTTCACTGCTATTTTTTTTTTTTTCAATTATTATAATTACTTGCTCATATTCAATAAAGTTAGAATGGTTAATGAGGTAACAAAACAAATTATTGACAGCCTCCAATCCACACCTGAGCCTGAGATATCGGCAATAACCCCACGGGCACACTACCAATACTAATCACAAATATGCATGCTTTTCAGCATTAAAGCCAGGAAAGGGGGGGGAAAAACTACAAAGAAATGGAAAGAAAAAAAGAGAATCACACTTGCACCACTTCCTGGGTCCTCACACATACAAACACACACACACACACACACACACACACAAACACTGCCATTCTGCAGCAATCCGGTCTAAACACAAACAAGTGAATATCCCAGTCGTAGCAGATTAACAGAACCTTATGTCTGCAAAGTTATCACAATAGCCATAATCGACTGAAGAAATCCAGAATCATCTAGAAACTTATGGAGCGGAACATGTTACTCCATTTGTCATTTTCTAATGCAAGCCCTTATTTTGTTCTGCCGCGAGGCAATTTTCAACATAAAAGTAAGTAAGCACCATTAGGATGGCCTGCAGCTCCAAACATCCCAAATTTCGGCAACAAATTGTTTTATCACTTTTAAAGGACGGCAGTTTTCAACGACCGTGAAAAACCATTTATCGGTATTGAACGAGAGCCAAGTCTTCTTTCCTTTATAAGCCCAGGTCGTAAGCGTCGAGGAGCTCGCTAAAGTTACTTTCGTTAACATTGAAGAAGTAGTCGTCGTCGAGGTTAAATGTGGGGTTTATGTGCATGAAGGGCATGTCGGGCATGTCCTGGTCTGTGGTGGTGTGGAGGATTGAGGATCCACAGATTGGGGATATCTCGGTTCTCAGCAGAGCTGTGGGTATAAGAAAAAGGTGCCAGAATCAGACATGGAACAAACTATATTAAATGCTCAGTTTTCTTACTAAGAGCAATCTTAAAACCAAGAAATTTTATTATCCTCACATAGCAGGCCCTCTGCAAAACGTCCCTCTCATCACAGTCTGCCTGAAAGACAACTCGGTCCCTCACCAGCTTTCCTGCCTCAAGAACTTTCATACTCAAGAAGTCCCTCATATCCTGTGCCCATCTTCATGTTGATCAGCCCCTGCCCCCCCCCCCCCACGGTACCATGCCTTCTGCTGTTAATTTTTCCAATCCGTCGTGGCGCTTGATATGACCAAAATATTTTAGCTTCCGAGAAAGGATGCTGTTTATTAGCCAGTTAGTTTATTAGTCTTACTGGAAGTTCAGATCTTTCAAGATGTCAGTATTTCTGCTCTTTTTTTGTCCAAGATATTCTGAGAATATTTCTACAGCATTTCAGGTGAAAAGCCCCTATTCTCTTCCCTAAGGACTCCCACAACTCACATCTGTATGTGCTGATTTTAAATGTTACAATTTATCTATATTTATCCCTGCATAAGTTCCAATGCCCTATTGAAGGAAAAACAAGAACAGACCTATTTCTTCCCCGAACAGGTTAGTTGTGTATCCTTCACAGGACGTTGCAGAACCAAACCCAACAGTCCCTGGCTGTTGTGTGGTTTTTCTAGGCAAGTTTACGTTCAGTAGTTTGCCACTGCTTTCTGGAGGGTCAGCTTTCTTGATACCACTGTCAAAACCAACGCAAGGCGCATGGCCCGCAGCTGGAATCGATCCCGGCATTACGAAGCGTTCGCATCGACTTAGCCGACCTTCCCCAAACAAGCAAGCTGTAAAAGTTGACTAACTGAGGGTTTCATTCAAAGTCAAACATCATATGCCAGATACATTACTAGAGTAAAAAGAAAAAAAAATTACATAACATACAATACTCACTATCTTCAGCCGAGGCAGACTCCTCTGAGAACAACTCCTGCTTGATTGATTCAATACTGGTCAGCCGGTCAGATAAGCACTCACAGCCCAAATTTGGCGGTCCTGACTCTGCAGTAGCCACTGCTGTTGCTGCTGCTGCTAAATCAGGCTTGGACTCGAGGCCAAAATCAAACAGACCATCAACCTGTGTATGACACAAAAGATATCTGTTTCATATACTTTTCTGAGAACTGTTTAAATTTGTGTACGAGTCTGTACAGAACCTTTGGCTTCTTTAACCAATGTTCCATACAGTGTTTCTCTCTTGGACACCTACATTTCCCGATCTGTATAAGGGCCATGTGCGGGTGTTTAAAACATCAAATTTGGGTCAGGTCGACAATTTTTGGAACAGTTCGTTTCAACACACCTCAGTATGTCTTCTGTCAGATTCAGTATTTGTTTTTGTCTAAAATATGTTATTTTAATGTAATATTATTTTACTGAGTTAACCCTAGCTGTGAAATTATTTGTTTATTGCAATCTGTTACGAATTTAGCAACGTTTGGTCCTTGACACAGCTAAATACATGTACAAAAAGGTACAATACCTTTTCAATTACCCTTATTTCTGAAATGAATAACTTTTATTTTTAATTAATTCCAGAGGAAATATAAAACAGTATAATCAAACTGCCATAGGATCATCAGAAATGGAGCTCTTCAGTGTCTGCTGAAGATGAGGACAGAGTGCTTATGGTAATATCTAGAATGCTGGGTTGACTGCTCTTAACTGTTTAATTTTAATAATCTTAGTTAATTACTAAGTCGCTCCTCTTCTACCTTCAGGAGAAGTGGTTTGCCAGAGAGATCGCTAGATGTCTATCAGCAGTTTTCTTCCTGGCTTTGTTCCATTTCAGTCCTCTGTTAGGGACTATCGGATGTTGTCTTCCCAGCGAACCCTGGGCTGCCCTGGAGGTCTGGCTCCCTGGTTCTTAGCCTCCCATGCAAACAAATTTAATAGCCATTAACAATTTAAAAAAAGGGGGGGTCATAGGTTCAATCTTGCATGGAGTTGAATTTTTATGGGTCCCAGACGGACCCAGCCTAAAACTGATACCAGGTAAAGTCCTGGGAAGTAAAGGCAACTAGCATGATGACGTTTTCACCCAGTGAGTGCTGACTGTTGTATAAAATATAGGTCTGGCAGTGTATACAAAATATGGCACGGAAAGGGTCCTTGAGTTGAGTCAAGAATTGACATCACAGCAGACGGGGCATTCCCATGTGTGCTCCGTTCTCATCTTCAAGAGTTCCAACACTGATGGTAGCAGTCGCAATCTGGTTATAAGTCCGCCTTGCCTTTCCTCTGAGTGTAGTGAGCCAGCCAGACCTTCCGGTTACAAAAAGGGTACTTTACTTTACTAACAAGAAAAGCTGCACACACCTCATCTTGACCTGCAGCGGATGCTGTAGACTCGGAACTGGAACTGGATTCTTCACCTGGTAAATCATCAGGACACAGGAAGACATCGATGGGCCCACGAGAACTTTTTAACCAAATCTGTATGTTCTGTAAACAATGACCCAAAGAAAAACAAAACAATATGAGAACATTTTGGAAATTATCATTTTCACATTCCCCGACTAAAAGCTTTGTCCTTGATTAGTTTTGCAGGCGCATCCATTTTACAGATCTGACAATGTGTGCAGACCGTTGGTTCCTTGCCTCTCAGGCAGATGCGCTTGACTAAAAAAAATGCAATATTGCCCCCATCTTCTTTTTTAATTATCAAGTACAAAATCCATATTCTCAAATAATTCTCCACACACAAAAATACTACATCTACACTATAAGATGTTTCCAGCTTGTCTGCTTACTGTCATTACACCAATTTCTTCTTCTTCGTGTTTACCGATTGTAAACTTTGGCTAAAAGTTCTGGTTGCTCATCCACTTCTTGACTCTAGTCGTGTTCCATAACATGAATCCTGTGTGCACATCTGTTTTACAGATCTGGCTTACTTGTATGCAGACTGTTGTTTTCTCGCCTGATGCACTCCAACTTTGAAGGAAATATCCCTAATTAGTTTACTCTTACTGCATGCTTGTCAGGGGGGGGGGGGGGGGGGGGGGGCAGTGAGTCTGTTCTCTCCCCCCCCCCCCCCCACAACAGGGCCCCAGAATCCTCAGTGATACACAAAATAAAGAGAGAATATGTACTTCTTCTTTGCGTTCGCCAGCTGTAAACTCTGGTTGTTCATCCACTTCTGGACGGCAGTCCTGTTCCAGAACCTGAGTTTTGTGTGTGCATCCATTTTACAGATCTGACTCATTTGTATGCACTCTCAGGCAGATGCACTCCAACTTCGAAGGAAGCTCCCAATTAGTCGACTCTCACGACATGTTGGGTAGCAGTGGGTCTATTCTTGTTTTCCCTATAATAGGGCCCCTGAACCCATGTGGGGTAGAATATGTACATCTTGGTACTTACGTTTTCTGGGTCAGGCACCTCCAGCCTGGTCTCTGGCGGAGCTTTGATGGCTATCACCGTCTGCTCTTTCAAAGAGCTTAAGCTTCTAATATCCTGATAGGTGACGTATGCTAATGTACGTCTGTTAAGGAACATAGGCTCACAGTGGTCAATGAATGAATTCAGAACTCACAACACATTTTCTAACGTGCTCATTTCAATGGCTGGTGGCCAATTTGTCTTTGGGCAGGCAAAGTGCATTATACATTACTACTGCATGTGCACGACCACCTTGTCATGGTTGGCGGCTGCCATAAACAATAAACTGCAATTCTGGTGGCGACTGCCTCATTCATTTACTGCATGTGCATGTTTCTGAATTTTGGCAGGGCTAACTGTTCCAAGGTTTTAAATGGGACAGTGAGTGCCATTTTGTTTAATTTTTCGCTAGCACATGAACAGCATTGCAAAACTGTCCGGTGTGTACAGTTATCTTCATATTCATCCTAGGGCATGCAGGCGTTGTAGGTAATGAAAGAGCTGATAGACTGGAAGGCCCACGGATCACGCAGACATTTTCAATGCCCTTAGAGAGGACGTATCTAGGATTTTGGAAGCAACGTGTCCACATCACTGCTAAGAATACGAAAACTGTGAGTAAAGATCGGCACAGCCGAGCATGAGAAGCACACCGGACGCACACAAAGTCTTGTTAACTAACAGTGGTTAAACTCCCCCAAAATGGGGCCAAGGAACCCACACGAGGAAGCTATTCGCTCAATTCTGTCCTAGTGTCCTGGCTTAATTCTTTCAATGTTAAAGCAATGCATCAATTGTAATAAGTTCGCCCCAGTGGAAAGCAAACACGGTGTAGACATACCCTTTAGATTTGGTACACAATTCTTCTTCTGCCTTTCTATCCCCCCAATGGAGCATAGGCCCTCAACCAACTCACTCCAAGTCGTTCTATCCTTCGCCATTGCATGGAGCTCTCCCCATGTCCTCCCAATCTTTCTAACCTCGTTCTCTAGCTCTCTTCTCCGTGTGTTTTTTTGGCCTTCCTTTATTCCTATGCCCCTGTGGGTTCCAATGCAAAGACATTCTAGTTATGCTGTTCTCCTGTTTTCTCAGTGTGTGCCCTATCCAACGCCAGCGTCTTTTCCTCACTTCCTGATCCACTGGAGCCTGTTTAGTTCTCTCCCAAAGTTCTACATTAGTTATTCTATCATACCATTTTATTCCCTCTATTCTGCGCAGGCACCAGTTAATGAATGTCTGTAATTTATTAGTAATTGCCTTGGTTGTTCTCCATGTTTCCGCCCCATACAATAGTACTGATTTGACATTAGAATTAAAAATGTTTAGTTTAGTATTTCTTTTGACCTCCACAAATTCCCTAGTGCTATAAAAGCCCCTCTTGCCTTTTGTATTCTTATTTTAATATCTCTATCAGTTCCTCCATCTTTATCTACATTACTGCCTAAATAGGTGTACGACTCCACGTCTTGGAGTGGGGTGCCATTAAGAGAAACCACATTACTATTTTCTTTCCTTTATGGATTTTCAGACCAAGCTGCTTTGATCTCGCATTAAGTATATTTAATTTATCTTGCATCTGATTCCGTGAATGGGACAGAAGAGCAATATCATCAGCGAAGTCCAGATCATCAAGCTGTTTTGTCGGGGTCCACTGAATTCCATTCTTGGTGTTAGCAGTTTCTGTTTTCATAGTCCAGTCTATAGCCAGTAAAAATAAGAGAGGCGACAAAAGACATCCCTGTCGCACACCTGTTTTTATTTCAAATGCATCTGTTAGCTTTCCCTCATGAAGAACTCGACATTTCATGTCTTTATATGTTGCCTTTACTAAGTTGATAATTTTCTGTGGGATTCCATAGTGCCCCATCAATTTCCAGAGAGATTCCCTATCTATGCTGTCAAATGCTTTTTCATAATCTATAAATCCAATGTAAAGTGGTGAGTTCAGTTCAATGCTTTTGGTACACAATACTAAACTATAACAGGCAACCCAGTCTATGTTGTTTGCGTTCATCGGCTGTAAACCCCTAGCAAAAAGACTTATTTTTTATTTCATCCATTCCTGGACTTCAACTTTTGTTCCAAGACCTCACTTTTGCATGCGCATCCATTTTACAGACCTTGTAAGCAGACTGCTGGTTCCTTGCCTCTCAACTTTCAACAAGCCCCAAATAGTCCACTCTTACAACATGTGGGGTGGCAGTGGATCTATTCTTGTTTTCCCCACGATGGTACCCCAGAACCTTAAGAGGTTTTATGGTATTAAATGTTGTCACTTTGGAAGGCACAGTCATTGGTTCACTGCCCTCTTCTGGTACTGAAAGTGTTAACTCCTTTAGACAGACATATCTGTTCAACTTGTGACAGAAGTGGTAAAAGTAACTGCCTGGAGCTAAAAGGGTTAATTAATATCGAAAGAAATCAAACAACAAAAGGATATCTAGCATTTTCAGAATCCTCTGTCATCAACCTCAGCTGTCTCGTAGTGTTTGCTATCATCTTGTCTAGTGCTAACTCTTTTGACCTCAGCTCGGCCATGTCTACATTTGGAACAAACAGTTTTAGTTAGAATTAGCAAGGTAAGCAAAATAACTAATGGTAATAACAGATTTAAATACTTCTTTATAATAATATAACTATTTCAGCCATATCAAGAGCTATGATGGATTGGAAACAATAATAGCAGGAAGGAGGGTCAGGCGCTGACCAGCGTGATAATAGGCGCAGGGTATAAGTGACTCTGAGTAGCGGCGACACATAAAGGCACAAGAAATGAAAGGTAAATATATAGTAAAGGTAAAAGACCTTTTTCTTATAGACCAATCAGCACAAGATGAGAATGTGGTCAGCATCACGCCGGCCACCTTTACTTTCTGGGACCACACCCTATACTCACTTAAGGCTGGGAGCCAAAGTCATTTTAAAAGAAAAAAGTCCAGCTTCGCCAGGCAGCGCATAAACGACCTTCCGGTCCGCGGCGAGCGTCCAGCCGCTCCCCCTCGGTGGCTTCCGAAAGGTAAATATATGCAACTATGAATAGCATACTATAGAATGAAGATGGACACAGGATTTAAGTGACAGCAAGGGCAGGAAAGTGTACGAGGCGGGAGAGTTGCAAGAGACCCACTGTCTATCAGGCAGACTGTGATGAGAGCGATGTTCTGAAAGACCTGCAACATGATGATACATCATAAAAATGAATCAGATGAGAGGTGGTGTATCATCCACTTCTGGACTGCAGTCCTGTTCAAGAAACTGAGTGTTGTGTGTGCATCTGTTTTACAGATCTCACTTGTTTGTATGCAGACTGCTGGTTCCTTGCCTCTCAGGCAGATGTACTCAGATTCTTAAAAGGAAACTCCCAAATAGGCAACTCTTTCGACATGCTTTCAGGTAGACAGTGGGTCTCCTCCACCCCCCCCCCCATAATAGGGCCCCGGAACCCACACGGGAAAGGGGCAATTATTAAACAGACTAGAAATATTTATAAACAGATGTCTGGACAGAGAGGGTCACAGTAAATGATCATAATGATGAGATGGTAGTTGACAATGTTGACTATTCTTCACAGAAACAGGCGTAAAAGGAAAAAAACCAAGAGCAGAAAGGAGAAACTATTTTTTGTGTGCATGATTTACCGTAGTCTGTTTTAGAACGCAGAAAACATGCATCTTTACCCGAGTGCAGGTCCACACTGGTTGTGCTCAGCTGTGCAACCTGAGGAACCGATGGCTCCCCCGATGCAGTGAACGTGTTTACGGCACCCCTGCAATAAGAAAACATTAAATCATTAAACTTTACACATCTAGATGCAAACACAAAAATACATTAACTCCTTCTTATTAGTGTTTACTAACTCTATACTTCTAAACTTTGGTCTTCTAGAACTTGGGTTTTGTATGCACATCTGTTTTACGAGACCTGGCTTATTTGTATGCAGACTTTTGGTTCCTCGGCTCTCAGGCAGATGCACTCCGGCTTCAGGTTAAACAATTCCCCTAATCTCCGTGCGGGTTCCGGGGCCCTACTATGGGAAAAACAAGAATAGACCCACTGCCTACCCAAAAGCATGTCGTAAGGGTCGACTAATTGGGAGCTTCCTTCGAAGTCGGAGTGCATCTGCCTGAGAGGCAAGGAACCAACAGTCTGCATACAGATCTGTCAAATGGATGCACACGCAACACTCAGGAGTTTACAGCCGGAGAAGAAGAAGACAAGACCTGGCTTACTTGTATGCAGACTGTTGGTTCCTCGACTCTCAGGCAGATGCACTCCGGCTTCAGGTTAAACAATTTCTCTAATTGGTTACCTTTTTACAAATTTCTTGTTAGGGAGACAGTTTCTATCAAAACTGTTTGCTCTTAATCAGCCAAGTTATAAATACATACAACACAAAACATTGACTGGAAACGGCAACGGACAAAACAACATAGCTTCTAAACAATCAAGGTCAAGGCAAAACAAAGTTATGTGACATGTTTTATAGACCAGTTTGAATTTTTTTTCACAAATGAAGGTGAAACAAAAGAATGTGTGGTTTTTTGTTGGCACAGGAGCAGAACAACTATGGGGTGATCCATTTCCTATAAAAGTTGGAAATGCAATTACCTTATCTGTTCAGTTCACCATATGTCTCTCTCCTGTGTTTCACTTTACTCCAGTTCTCTTCTCTGTGGGTGTTTGAGAATATTTTTGGTGGTCTGCCTTTATTTTCTCAGTGTGCGTCTTATCCAACTGCAGCATTTTTACTTCAACTCCTGATTCATTAGAATTGCCTTGTTCTCTTTGAAAGCTAAGCGACTATAGTGACATAAAGAGCTATACCCTGGTAAACAAAACAGGCATCCATTCTTTTACTGTGTGGGTTCCAGGGCCCCATTGTGGGGAAAACTAGAAACCCCAATGCCTCTCCAAACAAGAGTGGACTAACTGGGGATTTCCTTTAAAGTCGGAGTACGTCTGCCCAAACGGCACGGAACAATAGGTTGCACACAAATAAGTCAGCAAAATGATGTGCACACAAAACTCAGGCCCTAGCACAAAGCCAAAGTCCAAATGACGAACAACCAGGACTTTCTACCAAAGCTTACAGCTAGCGAACAGAAGAAGAATGTTTCCATTGTCACGTTACAAACTTATCACTGCTCTACAAAACATGCTCTCTAGAGACAAGAATAATTACATTACCTCCATTGAATGTTATTTTTGGACTTTTTTTGTATGAGGTTAATGCCCTCTAAAACATTTGTGATGTCGTAGATTCTTCTCTTTTGAACTTCCAACACTTCTGACGCCTTGTTTAGGTCAACCACCTGCAATCAACGATGTGGTATCTCAACATTTACAAAATGTTAAAAATTTAGCTTCAAGGTCCTTTCCCATGTAAAGTAAAGAACAATTTTTTTACGCCTTCAGGGGCATAGGGTATATAGGGCTAGACATACATTTTATAGACCAATCGGTGGGTGATGTTAAACCTCATGCCAGTCACCTTTGCTTTTTTATATTTAAGGTCCTGCTCGGTCAGGACCTGAAACCATAAACTTTCAATCTGTAGGCAGGAGTCAGGGGTCCAAGTCTCTCTACATCAGGGCTATTCAACTAAGTTGGCTTAGGGGCCACAATTTTGAAAACGGGGATTGTTACGGGCCACAAGCCCAAACTTCAGCATAGAGAGATCATTAATACAATACAAATGGCAGCGTTTCGTGTGCCACTTGCTAGGCTTCTGCGGGCCAGACTTGACCCCCGGGCAGTCAGTTTAATATCCCTGATCTACACCATGGCAGCTCCCCTTCCCATGTTAGTCACATATCACTGTAATTAATGATGTGCCAAATTTGTATGAGCTAAGCCAAAGGATGCAGATATCACACAGCCTTGCTGTACATACCCACAAACACTGTGCCAGCCACCCTGTGGAGGGCAGCAACCTGGAGATAAGCATGTGGTTTTTAACAACTGCCAAACAATTTTTTTTTTAAACTAGCTTCACAGAGTTCCCTTTCCCAAGTGGATCCAGGATTGCATATGATCCTAGTAATTAACGATTTACCAAATGTGGATCTGCTGCGCTGAAAGGTGCAGATATCAGTCTAGATATTTTTTTTTAAAGCAGTAAGCCTTACCCAGTCACAGAAACCGTACTATTGCAAAACTTCCTACTCCACTCATAAACTTGGACTGACAGGCATCCACCACTAAACTGGACCTTCATCAGCGAAAGAATTTCTATAAATTTACTCTTTGGTGCATGTCAAAATTGCAGCAGCTATCTTACTGTCATGACGTCACTGCATCTGTCCGCAACAGGGTATCAGATGCTTAACACTCCTGACAGCCTTAACAACAATACTGGCAGGTTACAAGATAATAGCATGGTTTATTGTAATCCCTCTCATACTTTTTAAGGTTTTGATTTGAAACTTCTCATTTAAATTATACTTTGCCTGGACACCGCAAGGTACAACAGGATCAGTGTGAGATGCTGAGAAATTTCCACATTTACTACTCAGTCGCTCCTCTTCTACCTTGGGGTGTAGAGGTTTTCCAGAGAGATCACCAGTCGTCTCTATCAGCAGTTTTCTTTCTGGCTTTGTCCCCTTCCAGTCCTCAGGGACTTCCCAGCGCACCCTGGAGGTCTGGTTGCCTGGTTCTTAGCCTCCCATGCCTGCCGATTTTTCCACATTCTGCTTACATGTCCAAACCATCGTAACTGTGACAGATCCACTCGGGTATGTAAGGACTGGCTATCAAGATCTTGACATATTGTCTGATTGCGGACTTTGTCCCTTCTTGTCACTTGGACCACTTTTCTCAGATGTCTTATTTCTAAGGCCTGAAGTTGGCCATTTTCTATCCAGAATGAATTGTCAAATTTTATATCCACCATAATTTGCCACATTTTCTATCAAGCATGAATTGCCACATTTTCTATCAAGCATGAATTGCCACATTTTCTATCAAGCATGAATTGCCACATTTTCTATCAAGCATGAATTGCCACATTTTCTAACAAGCATGAATTGCAACAAGGCTGCATGGCCTACACCTGGCTAGTCAACGTTACTGATATTTTCTCTTAGGACAGATATTTTCTCATAGGGAAGTAAAAGCAAACGAAGCTGCCCTAATCGAGACAGTCATAAACTTATGTTTTGAATGCTGAATGAGGAATCAACATCACAGAACGCAGTACACCCCCGTAAGTGCTCAGTCCCCATCTTCAGCAGCAAGCAAAGAGTTCTAATTCAGATGGTACCTGTACCGTCTGATTGTATATCCGTCTCATCCTTCCCCTGAGTGTTCAGCGTCGGCCAGATCCTCTGCTAACTCCTCCCAGCGTCTTTCTCCTTAGACCGTATTGATCTATCTGCGCCTTGGCACTCTTTACTCGCTCCCTAAGGGCCCTCACAATAAAGTCATAAACTTATTAGAACAATTAGACATAGACAGTCAATGTTTCTGGACAGGATATGAAAAGGTCTCGACTCTAGAACTTGGCAACAACCGGCAACTTTGATGGGAAAAGAGCAAGAGGAAGGCAAAGAGATAAATACCCAGATGGCCTGGTCAGACTGATGTGGGGTGACAGAAAAAGATCTAACTGATCTCTGTGTGATTCTGATGAACTTGTGAGATGGCAAACCATGACAGCATACGTTTACTGAAGGGGCACATGATGAGCTCGCAAGTGTGTTAGGATGTTTAGAGACCAACGACTCCTTGTGTGTGTTCCTGGGCCCTGTTGTGGGAAAAACAAGAATAAAAAAGCTGTCGTAAGAGTCAACTAATTACGAGCCACCTTCAAAGTTAAGAGTACATCTGCCTGAGAGATAAGTAACCAACAGTCTGCATGCAATGAGTCAAACCTGTGAAACAGATGTGCACACAACACTGAGTTTCTGGAACGTACAGGCAAGACCAAAACTTTCCGCCAGAGTTTAGAGCCGATGAAGAAGACCGACCATGAAGTTAGGTCAACCCTGTTTGGGCCACAAAGCGGGGGAAACAAACAACTCTGCATTAGGGGTTTTCTCAAAACACTGCCAGTAAACTGGAACTTTTAAACATGAAGAAAAAAGACAATTTATAAAAACACGCAAACTTACCCCATCAGGTGAGCTGCGCAGCAAACCAACAAACTTCTTGGTCAGCAAACCTAGAGACGTGTCATACCTGGTCTTTTCAATAGGTGACCTTTGCCCTGTTGACGAACAGATACCAGCTTTGTACATACATAGTGAATTAAGGGGTTTTCATGATAACCAATCATGTTTGTTATCTGTTTTTCTGGTAAAGGTTTAAGAGAGAATCAACCTCATTGCTTGATCTCATATGGTTTGGTCTCCCTCCACAGAATGCCTAGCCACCTACCGAAAGTGTTGCTAAAAGCAGGAACAAAACAGCAACTCCCTAGCAGTCTCTGTAAAAACTCTGTGTGTTCTGTTACTGAAGCAGACCACAGTGTAAAACTGTTAGGCACACACCAAAAAAGCCTGAAAAACAACTGCAGACATGTTTTTTTTTAGGTCTTTGTGCGGGTTTCGGGGCTCCATCTCGGAGAACAAAGAACAGCCTCACTGTCCACAACCGCAACAAGCATGCTGTAGGAGGCGGCACAAGTTGGTGCATTTCTTTCAACACTGGAGCACATCTGCCCGAGAGGCAAGGAGCCAACTGTCTGTATACAAAAGTTCAGATCCGTAATATCGATGTGCATGCAAAACTGGGGTTCTCGATCAAAAGTCTAAAAGTGGAAGAACCAGCCAGAACTTTCTGCTTTCAGCAAAAGACTGCTGCAGACAGGGATAGTTCTGACATCTAGCCAGCCAGCTCGCAACAAGGTCCTTCAGTATCCACACTTATTTTTTCTTGACCTATCTTGGACTGTTTGTGTTGGCACTTCTGGTTGCTGCCTTAGTGCATATGTATGCTACTGTAATTGTCTGTGAGTTTGTTTTCCCCCCTCAACAAGGGACACTTCTCATGTTTACTTGGCTGTAAACTCCAGTGGACTAAGTTTTGGTTGTTCGTCCCCCTCTAGGCATACGTTAGCCTCGTTCCAGAATCTGAGTGTTGTAGGGGACAATGATAGGCATTCTGTGTAGTTTTTCATTGGCACAGGAACTAGGAAGTGACCCATTAGCTATGAAGTTGGAACTGAAAATTACCTGACTATATCAGTGTGTTTATATAGAAAAAAAAGGCAGTAAAAGGGTTTGGCAAATCTGTTATCAAATTGAGCGTGCATACGCAAAGCTCTATTTTGCGTATGTTCGACACATGCACGAGATGTTTAGTGGTATTTTAAACTCATGCTAGCTACACAGTGTCAACACTGGGTGGTGAATTGATACATGACAAGGCAGATGTGGTCAAGGCCCTTTGGGAAAAAGCAACGGAATTAGTAGAAAAACAAGATTATTATGGCCTGGAGAGAATGAGGCACCTGGGTGTAACCAGAGGGTCTGACCGACTAACTACACTCAGAGGAAAGACAAGACAGACATATAACCAGTTTGTGACAAGTACCATCAGTACTGGAACTGCGCTGGATGCTGAAGATGAGAACGGAGCACGTATGGGAATGCCCTGAGTGCTGTCATGTCAATTCTTGGCTCAACACTTAGTGTCACTTCTTATCTAGTCATATATTGCCTTTCAGCGTGAGGTTTTTGAAGAGGCATCGGGGCAGTGGTATGTAGATACAGTATTTATGGGCACGGATTTTCCATCTATCAGGCCAATTCGCTTTTTGATCTTGTTTGCATGCAGACTGTTGGTTCCTTGCCTCTCTGGTAGATGCACACTTCAATGACGTGTCATTCCTATTCTTTTATGTACGCCGGACATCCCATCCCTGGCACAGATAAAAAACAAGGACATCACTTGCACAGTCTTTTTTTCTTCTTCTTTGTGTTCAGCAGCTGTAAACTCCGGCGGAATGTTCTGGTTGTTCGTCCACTTCTGGACTAGTCCTGTTCCAGAATCTGAGTGTTGCACGTGTATCATTTTACAAATGTGAATTATTTGTATGCACACCGTTGGTTTCTTGCCTCTCAGGCAGATAGATGCACTCTGACTTCGGAAGAAAGCTCACAATTAGTAGACTATTACTACATGCTTTTGAGAAGGCAGTGGGTCTGTTATTGCTTTTCCTATAATAGGGCTCCGGAACCCACACAGGAAATCCTGTTTTTCTCCCCTTTGCTTTTACAGCACGGCTGTTTTACAGATCTGACTTAGGTGAATGCACTGCTGGTTCCTTGCCTCTCCGGCATATGTACTCTTTAATGACATGTCATTCCCATGGTTTTTTTTTACGCTAGCTAGACATTCCATCCTTCGTACAGATACATAACAATGACATCATTAGCACATCCAGTTTTGTTTTTTTTTCTTTGCTTTCGCATCACAGCTGTTTTACATATCTGGCTTATGTGAACGCACTTTTGGTTCCTTGCCTCTCCGCCAGATGCATTCCGACATCAAAGACACCACTAATGAGTCGCCTCTGACAAAACAGCTTGTTGGAGAAGAGGGCTGTGGGTTTACACTTTTACCCAAAAAAAAGAGGCCACGGGACCGACCTGAGGACAACACACAAGCAGACATTTACCTCTGGGTGATTCTCCCAGGCTCTTCCTGCGTTTGCATGGTTTAGGAGTCTTGAAGCCTTCAATGGTTATATCATGTTCTAACTCCAACCGTCGCTTGACCTGGTGATGTTTGAGATAAAACAGCTGAAAAACAACTTAATTTGACCTGGCGCATAATTTAGGCAAGAGCTTAGAGGCCGTTCAGAATTTAGAGGGGAGGCAACTTCGCTTTCCCAGTGTTATCCCATAAAGACCGGTCACTCCGCGCAGCTAGCGCCTGCTGTAAGCGTCACATGAAGCAAAAACTCTGCAGCACTAGCAACACTCTCTGTGGATCTATATAAAAACTGAAAAACACATTCATATCCACAAACTTTTTACAGAGCAAGTGAAAATGCTTGATCACTCCTAAAGTAGAGATTACATTTCTGAGATGCATCTTGCAATTATGTTGCATAGCTTTATTAGTTATTTTAAAAAAGTTTGTTTTGTGACATTTTCAGGATGTTGCACACACAGAAATCCTAATCTGCAGTCTGTAGCGAAAGCTCTAGCCGCAGCCTTTTATTCTCAGATTCCCCCTCCCCGTAAAAGTGGTTATTTCAGGTAGTAATCACCATGTGAATAAACCAACTCAGAACTGATTGGCTGTTGTGTGGACTGAATAAGTAACTGCTAGATTCAGCAGTTTGCATGCAAAACTAGCGCTCATACACACCCACATACATACATATGTACTACACAGATATATACAAGTATAAATACAGATAGATGAACAGCAGTCTGAGAGTATACAACAAAGACAAGAGACAGAGCGTGTTGGAGATCCATTGCAGCCAGTCTTCACTGTTGAGACGGAACCTGATCAATCAACTGGCAACTACTAACCTCTTAACAGTGAAGATTTTACTCTGGTCTCCTCATTTACACACAGCTACACACTAGTTTGCTTCTGATTGGACGACCTACTGACCACCTTACTTCTGATAGGAAGGCCTCGAGCAATCCCACTTTCACAAGGTCAAAGAGATATTTTGCACTTGCGCTCGTACAGCGTGTTGTACATTTTACCATGCCAGAGCTTTTAACACTTCTAAAACAATAAGATACTGGGTCTAAACCCCTCCCCCCCCCCCCTCAAGAGAAAAACAAAACCTATGTCACAGGCCGTCTCGGCTATCCTCCGAATACCGGTCACATATTATAGCGGCCAAAAAACACTGACAGGGTCGTAATCACATGTAAAATGCGGACTTCTTTCCGACAAAATACCGCAGCAAAAGTAGGATAAATTTCCGACGATGATGCCGCGAAAGGCAACAAACCGCAAAGGTAAACCCGCTGCCGAGAGTAACCCCCGTATGGTGCAGAGAAGGGCTAAACTAGATGGCGGAGACTTACAAGCAGCAACTACCACATCGTGCAGCTTCATTTTATTTGCTCGTGAGTCCAAGACTTCTAGTTCAGCCCTTTTCTGTGCAGTGCGTAGCGGCGCGGGGGATACTCTCAGCCGTGAAAACAGCGCTACCAATCCGATTACTAAGTTAATACTATTTGGCAGATGATAAACCTACTCCCACAACTTGTGTTTCTAGCATAGTGTTAGCACAAAGTCTTTATAGACCAACCAACTGCGGAAAGTCAACGTCACACTGGCTGCAACTTTACTACCCAAACTATTTACAGAGCTAATTTCAGGCTGGGTTGACCTGAGACCACCATTAAGCGCTCTTTCATTATTATGAAGTGTAACAAGAAGTGCAACGGCCAAAAATCTGGTGCTGAAAACAGGACTCTGTTCACTTTCTTCAGGTCACTGGGGTGGGTGGGGTGATTACTCCTTCGACAACAGTATTAAAACAAAACCAACCATTGCCACCACACACAAAATGAAACAATGTGTGCTTTTAATTGCAATGAAAAAATGCAACAGTGACATTTCTTACAAACACATTTCAAGCATCAAAATCTATGAAGTCTTAAAAGGTTTAAAGTGTATATTATTAATTTTATATTCTGAAAATGATTACTACATTTTTTATTGAAAAAAAAAAAAGAGTTGACATTTGGGCTATCTTCTGAAAAACGGTCCCAAATTATCGAGGCCAAAAATATACCCTAACAGGGCCTCAGTCACATGTAAATTGCGGGCTTCCGGTGACTACCACCACCGCAGAGAGTATCTCCCACGCCGCTAGGCGTGGCGTGGATTGGGGCTAAACTAGATGACTGGGACTCACGAGCAGCAGCTACCGCATCTCCTGCGGCGTGTAAGATACTCTCGGCAAATTTAAATGTTGAAAAGTGAGGAGTGTTTCCTTTAAAGTAGGAGTGCATGTCTGGGCAAGGAACCAACACTGCCCACAAATATGACAGATCTGTACACAGCGCATGCAAAACTCAAGCTCCACAACAAGACCAAAGTCAAGAAGTGGACAAACAACCAGGACTTTCTGCTGGAGTTTGTAGCAGGTGAACACAAAGAGTTTAGAATGCACTCAGGACATTCCCACCTGTGCTCAGACTCCTCAGTAGCCATGCCTAGGAAAAGTCCACATGCTAATATTACTAATAACAGTCAATACCAACTGATAGTTGCAATCTGATTCAAAGTTAGCCTCCTAATAAATTTAAAAAATAATAATATACTATACTTAGTATATTTATTATTAAAAGTAATAAAAGCCTATAAGTTTAGTAAGAGCTAATAAATGTAAGGTTTCAAAAGTTATAAACAAATATTTTACTCCAATGAATTTAATATCTATCCATAACTAACTAAACTATTATAATTATAATATATAACATCCCCAACGAACGTGGCAGGATTGGCCAAACGTGTGGCTTAGGATGATAAAAGTGAAAGAACAATTAAGAATCATTTAACACACTGTCATTATACTATTCAGATTATGGGAATATAAACAACAAAACCAGTTAACGAGCAAACCATGTGGCTATGGCCCCTGTGAGGTCGAGTTCGCTGCCAGTACAGTAGTACACAACTATAAATATCACATAAATATATCAAGTGGGCGGGGCTTCATCGTTTAAGCAAACTTAATAAATAGATACGGAATAGTTAGAAATAGCAACTGAAAAGTTACCTGTGGTTTTTCAAAGCCTTGCACTAGTTGAAACTCCGAGAAACTGGGGTCAAGTGGGGTAATTTGTCCGAAATCACATTTCAAATCAGTGTTTACGTAAGAAGAAAAATCTGCTGTCTTTGTTGTGCTTTGTGTCAGTTGACGTGGATAAACGTTGCCTAAAGTCAACAACTGCTGGGAACTATGCTCATTTTCAGTAGTTTCTTGCTTGATGAATATCGGAAGATCACGCCTGGCTATCAAAGTTTGCTTCCTAGGCATATCGAAGATAAACCGTCTCTGCAAAATCCCTGTAACTATCTTCCCCCGAATGCAGAACCAGCAGCTGCCTTTCGGCGTCAGATGTTGGCCACTTCCGTCGTCATCGATTCAGATAAAACACAATATATTCCATAAATAAGAATGCAAACCAACAAATAACACCTGAGGTGACTGTAAATATTGATAAAATACGCTGCTGTAACAAATTTGTCAGCGGATGGGTAGCACAACAGGTGAAATCAAAGGGATTATCGGGTTGTTGATCTGCGAGTCCGGGCCATCAATGATTTGACAGATGCCGTGTGGGTAACAAAGCAGGCGCGGGTTTGGCGCCAAATCATATTTCCCGCGACATGACGTCATAGAAACCAATATCCGGTACATGCATTACTACACTACCTCTTAAACATTCTTTCACTGTTTCTCACTTTTATCTTAGTTTTACTTTCAAATATTTAAAATGACATTAAAATATCTTTAAATACATAAAATTTGTCAATTGCGTTTCTAAGTTAGTATTTATTTTTAGTCGGGATGATAAATACAAAGGTTATACATGGTTAGGGGCGCCTGAAGCTAAAGTAGCAGCTGCTGTTAGTTCAGAAAGGTAGGCGTCCAATGAAGATTTTCCTTCCCCAACCTGAGAGATTCTGGTTGTGAATGTCGGACTAAACAAGGCACAGGAAACCGTGTCTTTTCACAGAATAGAAGTGATTGTACACAGTGTCAAAGCTGGGAAAGGTGGTGGCACAATGGGGCTAGCACAAAGAGGGTGTTTGCACTGGCCACAACGTCAGGTCACGAATGTGTTGTACACGTATCAACCAGGCAATATTGTTGGGCAGTCTCCCGTTTCCTCCTGTTGCACTTTCACAACAGACCTATTTCTGGCTGTACTAATTTTACTTCAGTCATTCTTACAGTTATGAACGAGTTGTTGTTGTTGTTCTTCTTCTTGTTCTTCTTATTTTTCTTCTTCTCCTCCTCCTTCTTCTTTTCCTACTTCTTCTTTGTTCACCGGCTGTAATCTCCAACGAAAAGTCCTGGTTGTTCGTCCATTTGGACTTTGTGCCAGGGCCTGATTTTTGCGTGTACTTGAATTTCACTGGCTTATTAGTGTGCAGGGGGGTCGCCTTGGCCGAGCGGCTAGACGCTCGCCGCGGATCGGAAGGTCGTGGGTTCGCTCCCTGGAGGAGCCGGACTATTTTCAAAAATGACCTTGGCTCCCAGGTCGACCCAGCCTTGAGTGGGTACGGGTGCAGTCCCGGGAAGTAGAGGCGGCCGGCGTGATGCTGACCACATCACCCATCTTGTGCCGATTGGTCTATAAAAATATAGGTCTAGCCCTATATGCCCTATACGCCTAAAGGCGTGGAAAAGGGTCCTTTACTTTACTTTTTTTATTAGTGTGCAGCTGGTTCTTCCTTGCCACTCAAGCAGATGCACTTCGAAGGGAGCTCTCAATTAGTCGACTCTTACGACATGCTTGTTGGGAAGACAGTGGGTCAATTCCCCCCCCCCCCTCCCCAGAATGGGGGGTCAGAACCCACACAGGGACAACAGAATATAAAAAAGAGGTCTCATGAGATTAAACAACACGAAAAACATGTGGTCTAGTGTGAGTGCTAAGCTATTCTATAAACATGATCCGGAGGGTCAAGGCGGGTTTTCTACGCAGACAGTGGATCGACTCATTTCAAGACTTCACTGTGCGTGGAGTTACTTCATCTTTGTGAAAGAGCAGACAGATTAGTTGGTTGTCCCTTAGTTACAGAGGGCCACTCCATGGAACATGCTGACATAGTTAATGCCATTAGAGAGGTGGGACGATCGGAGGATGTAGGGAGCAGCACATCCACATCTTTGCTAAGAGTGCAAGAATTGGGAGCAAAGATCGGCACAGCCAGACACGAGAAGCACACAGGACGAACGAGAAATATTGTCAAATAACATAGGACTGGGACTATCAACAACATGATGTATATGTTGAAGGGGGAATTTGAGCACCTGTGGACATGTCCGGAGTGCCGTGAAGATAACCCAAATCATAACTTATTACTATGGCACAGAACCTGCACACTAGTTAAAAGTAAATGTCCGCCTCGAGTGCTAGAGGTTCCGGGTTCAGTCCCCCGTAAGCGTTGGGATTTTTCCCGTGGACTTGGACTTTTAGTAATCGCCCCCAGGTCTCTGGGTAGTGAGATCGGACCCCCGTATGTATTGTTGCGCACGTTAAAAAAATCCTTTGGCAGTTGAAAATCGAAAAGAGTAGCCTAACGGCCAAGCCCGGAAAAAATGTAAAGATATAAAATCATCCCAAATTATTTCAGGATCCTCTCCCGTGCTACAGAGACTGTGCACTGTGCTTCGGACTCAAGACTTGAGTTAGAAGAAGAATGGAGCACTTATGGGTTACTACCTGTGTGCAATAAACATAACCAAACTTCAGCCCATGACCAGTTATTTATTGTAAGTTAAATTACAGAGGACCTTGGCTTATCGCAGTCACGATCCATTTAAGAAGACAACATACTCATACTCAGGCTGATCATACATTAAGAGGTGACGTGAATCTCCGTGAGTCGTTGTACCAGCCGTACCAGGACATCACAGCCAAGACAAACTGAAATAAAGATGTTAATTATAGGCCCAAGTGTCTGTTGGTAAATTAGCATCTTTCTCACATAGGAACCACGAAGAAGGTGTGAGCACGCCTTATTTAGAAAAGCCAGGATAACCCAAAAGAAGCCAAAAACTCATTATCTTAAGCCAATTCAATTTCTGCCACCTTCTACTTCTAATGTATTCATTAAAGTTATGAAGGAAAATAATTGTGTGTGGGTCGCTAAAACATGAGGAAACTGTAATAAAGGGTCGTAGCATTAGGAAGATTAAGAGCCACTTCTCTAAAATAACTTTTTTTTTTTTTTGGTTTTATACGGTTAAACCTGGTTTATGGGATTTGCTCATTTCCTTGTCACAACCCATTTCTATTGATGGCGAAGAGCTGGTAACAGTTGACTATTTTACACACCTGAGATACACAGTGAATAACTGTTTTCTAAGCTCAGTCTCTGAAGCTTGAGATGGCTGGTCACATCTGGAAAATGAAGGATTGTATAGTCCCTAAGGACATCCTCTGTGGTAAAGTAAGATAGGAAGAAGAGTTCGAGGCCGGCCTTTGCTATGATATAAAATGTATGCAAGTGGGACATGAAGGATACATACACTGATGTAAGTTCGTCCCATAGGCCAATGGTTCTCAACCTTCCCAATGCCGCGACCCTTTAATACAGTTCCTCATGTTGTGATGACCCCCGGCCATAATATTATCTTCGTTGCTACTTATAACTTCAGTGAATATGTCTTTTGTTAGTCTAAGGCGACCCATGGGAAAAGGTCGTTCAAACCCCAAAGGTATCGCGACCCACAGGTTGAGAGTCGCTTCTATAGACCGTGTTGGTGAAGGAGGACAAACAGGAAGGGGATGGGGTCCTATTCAATTTTCCAGGCCCATCTACACACTACCCGACCTTTCATTCATACTTGCTTAGACTTTTCTACGTCAGAGGGATGTAACGTTGTCTTCCCTAAAATTACATCAGCGCCGATATCGCGTGTTCTATACTACACGACGACACAGTTTTCAACGACCCCCAGAACACGTAGAACTGGCCCTAACCCAACCCCCCCCCCTACCCACAGCTTCAATTTAGGTCTCACGAATGACTCTTTGCAAAGACAGCAGTACAACGTTACACCCCTCTACCTAGATCAGACTGAGAAAGTGTGTAGATGGGCCTGAAAACGTGAACAGGTCCGGGAATGGGAATAGAGGGGAAATATATGAATGCAGACAAGTTGGGCGTATTCAACCTGTACCCTGCGAGTGTGAGTGGGAACTTTTCGAGCAGTTCCAAGTCATTAGTCAATTTTCGTGCAACTATATTCTCAAAAAGTTTGCCTACAGTATCCTTCATGGAGATAATTCTATAGCCCGGTGTCTTTGTGTGGTCTTTGGCAGTGGGAACAAATAACCATGGAGCCATTCCTCTTTTATCTGGATACTAATATGGAATTTTCCTTTCACGCTCTTCATAAGAGCATCCGCCATCACCAGTTTGAAGTTTGAAGTTTGAGAAACGGATCAACATCATGGCACACGAGAAGTAACCCATAAGTGCTCCATTTTTCTTCTTACTCAAGTATGAGTCCGAAGAAGCTCAGCACAGCGGACACCACGCCTTGAGACCACGCAGCAGGACCCCCCCCCCCCCACCCCCACCGCCCAGAGGCCATGGATAGACCATCGCATGTTCACACGTAATGCAGTACGTACAGAGTCACCTAGCCTGAAAGACTTATCTGTACTGGTGATAGGAGTTTACTGAGAGGGAAATCTTAAATTACTAGAATCAATGCGGGATATAAAACCTAACCCGTCACTGAAACCAAGTGATTCAGACTGTTCAGAAACTACTTGAAGACCTAGTTCTTACTGTGATGTTTGTTTGTTTTAGTATCCAGAAGCCATGAGTTGTTGACCCTTAGGCTCGGTATTATGGATATCCCAACCTTTCGGCCTTGATTCCATTTTAAATACCGTAAATCTGGGATAAATGTGGCTTTTCTGCCCACCCCCGGGAGTGAACCCGGACCACAAGGAGTTCGTCACCCGCTCACCGCGCAATCCCGTTTAGCCAACTACGCTAGAGAGACGGGCTCTTACTGTGATAGATTTTATTTAATTTTGCCAATGGTCACATCCAAAAAAATGTAAAGCATCTTATGACAAGTATAATAGTAATTGGAAGAAAACACACTCATTGCTCAAAACATCTTCAGACGAATCAGAGGAGGCATATTGTGAACTGTTTCAGTGCACTATCATACCAACAATTTGTAACATCAAATCGTGACAAATCCGAAAAACACGGGATGAAAACTCCGCCAAAAAGTCAGTCACAGCTGATTACAACAATGATTGCTATCATTTCCCC